AGACCTGAGCTTCTTTTCCTGCAACTAGACAGAACAGGACGGTCCTATCTGGCGGTGATGGGAGACAGTGACTGATCTGAGAGGGGGAGGAGCTCAGGCAGTGAGCGAGTGATGGGGAGTGGCTGTAAGTACAGATGAAGCTTTGCTCGCTGGCCTGCCACTCACCTCCTGCCATGCAGCCTGGTTCCTAACGGGCCACAGACCAGTACCAGTCCGTGGCCCGGGGATTGGGGACCACAGTTCTACAGTGAAGCTCAGTTGACAAACCCAACTCTTGCTCTTAGGGCTTCTAATCACTCTTTGGTTCCCCACATGAAACATGAGCAGGTGATCAAGGCTAACCAGACATCTGAGAAATGCCTGTACTACGAAAGAAAGAAACCAAAATAAACAAACTGGAGAAAAGAGACACTATCAAAACAAAAACAACAGAAAAACCCCACAAAAATCCCAAAAAACAAAAAACCTATTAATACCATGAAAGAGGAAAAGAAAGTTATTTTGAAAATTCAGAGAACAAGAGAAATTGTGGAAATAAGATAGCATAAATAAAAAACAACAGAAAGGTAAGATAAAATTAAATAGGTCTACAAGAAAGTACATATATATATAAAAAAAAGACAAGATGGAAAATAAGAGAGAAAATAAAATGAGAGGACTGGTCTAGGAGGCCCAATACCTGCACAAGAATTCCAGAGAGAAGAAAAAAACACAATAGACGAAAAAAAAAAGAAAGAATTCAAAAAATTTTTCAAAACTGAAGGAACCAGTTTCCAGAATGAAAGCCACACATTCTTCCAGTCGATGTGGATGAAAACAGACCCTCATCAACCCACATCATCATGAAATTTCAAAGTAAAAAAACAGGTCATACATATAACTGCAGTCCCTAACCCCCAGGCTGTGGACTGGTACTAGTCCATGGCCTGTTAGGGACCAGGCCACAGGGCTCCGCTCCCGCCCCCCCATGGAAAAACTGTCCTCCATGAAACTTGCGGGGGTGGGGAGGAGGTGAGTGGTGGGCACTTCACCTGTATTTACAGCCACTCCTGCCTCCCTCATCCCCTCCTATAGAAAAGCTGTCTTTCATGATTCCATGAAACTGGTCCCTGGTGCCAAAAAGGCTGGAGACCACTGATATATAAAGTCTCAAAAATCATCTTCATTCCAAGCTCCACTTCTCAGGGAACTACCAGAGGATACAGTACAGCAAAGCAAGAAGGTAATAAAAAAGGAAGGAAGATCCAGGACTGAGGCGATCCATACAGGACAAAAGCAGAGGGAATCCCCAGGAAGATGATGAAGAGAGACCTGGGAAGACAGCTGTGCCTCAGAAGCCAACAGGGCACTAATCCAGAGCAGATCAGAGCGGTGAAGAAGGCTCTGGTGGAGACATTTCCAAGAAGAAACTGAAAGAATACCTGAGGCACCTGAATATCTCAGAAGG